GTCTTTTACTCAAGTGGCCTTTAATCTAAGGCAGAAAAGATTCAAATGGTACAAATTAATGTGGTTAATGAACTACACCATTTTCTACAAACAAAGTGCCTGTTTTACTTAATTATCCTGTGGAGAAGAGCTGCAGACAGCTAGAAAAGTCTGTAGCATGAAGCTGTGACTCAGTACACCCCTGTCACACCTTCTGTTCCCAGTTCTCTCAGCAGGATTAGCTGGGGGTACAGCTGTCATATCTGTAATGTCATATTTGGTGGGGTATTATTCAATCAAATGCAAAGTGCAAGTTAAAATAATCTAACAGGTGACAGAACACCTTTATAAAGATTGAGATATCTATTTTGCAAAATTCTTTTCTATCTGTAGACCTACACAAATGGAAGAAACTCAGTACCTGCATTGCATCTCTCCCTAGCAGTATTCCTGAAGGATATTTTCCCATGGGCTTTGTTGCACATTTTGGGGGGTTTTGTTCATTGGTTAAGTTGGGGTTTGTTTGTGGGTTTTAAATAACTAAAGTCTGGGTAGAAACTAACAGCCTTTTGCTCTCCCTCTGAAGAACACTGGGTTGTTTTTCCAGCAGTTATCTTCCAGGAGTTTTGTCTCACTTCCACTGCCTCTCTTGCAGAGCTGCTCTCTAGAGGGCCCTTGACTTGCAAATAGCAAAACCTTTCAGTGGGACATTACTTTATCTCCCAACCCTATTAGGATATATCAGTCTTCCCTACATGCCTTGCCTTGCAGAAAAAGTCATTCTGCTTGATCATATCTGAAGCTCCACAGACTCCTTTTCCCCCCAAACACAACATTGTTGCGAGGTAGTTGTCTGTTTTCTCAAAACTTCAAAGCCTCTTTGTCTCAAAGCGTGGAGTAGGAAAGTCTGGGGCTCTTGCCCTAATCAGCTTTTGGGGATTCCCAGACTCCCCCCTGTATGGGCAGAATTTGGGGAGCTGAGACCTGCAGGAAGTCACCAGGCTGGGTGGCCATGGGTTGTCCTTCTGGTGGGGCTGGAAACCCTCGGGTTGCTGTGGGACCACTGCCTGAACAGACCAGGGTTCAGCTTGGGTGGGCATTGAAGGATGAGCTGCTAGCTCAGGGAGAGTTCTCTTCTCTTTAGGGTTTCTTAGGGCACAAAATTTTTGTCACCTTTAGAGGCGATTTACCACTGTAATAAATCTCCCTGTTTGTATTAGGCAAATTGTGTTGTACTGTATTCTACAATTTGTATAATTGTATTTATTCTTGTAACAGTCTCTTTTCATAAATCCTATAGATAGCCACAACATAAATTCCCAGTTAGGTACTGGATAAAAACAGAATGAGAAGTTCAGCATTTTCCTTCCTTTCTCACATTTTCTGTATTCAGGTTTTTGCACTGACTCATGTAACTTCTGCTAAGCAATATTCATGATTGCTCATTGAAAAAAACAGTAAATATGTGCACCTAATTTTTCCTAAGAAAACACATTGACACTTGTGTAAATTTAAATATATATTTGAAAATATATAACATGGATACCAAGACTTTTTTTTTCTGTTCTAACGTTCCAATTTCATGCATAAAAGAGTACTAGATTGAGAGTCTGGGTTTTTACCATGACATTGATTCTATGTGTAACAGGACTAATTACAAAAATAAATTAATAAAGAACACAGAAACAGAAGTATTTATGCATATCTAATTGTTTCATGTGAGTTTAATCTTGTTTTATTAAGCAGCTTATTGATATACACGTCCTGCAGTAAGACAGTTGTAGTTTCCAATAGATGTAGAATCCTAACAGGTATAACAATCTTTTTTTACAAGCACTGCAGTATGTTAAGAATTTTTTTATTATGTTCACTGCAATGCCAAAAAGAATGAAGTATTAGAAATTAATCACTGTACATATGTGGTCAATGTATTATCTATTTAAATTCATGTTTGGAAGCTGCCTTGCTGAAAAACTCCTACAGGAAATCCTAATAGACATTTTTTTGGTTTATGATCAGAGCTAAAATAAAGCTGATTTACTGAAAACTGTATGGAAAATCTTCCAGGGGAAAATACAATGCCAGGTTCATCCTCCATGAGAAAGATCATCAGGTAGCTTTTTGGTGAATTATTTCACCCACATTCAAATACATGCTAAAATTGCAAAACTCATCACAAAGCATTTAAAGACTATTCCAAAATTTCCATGGTTTGTTGGATTGCTTTTGACAGTACTTTCCAAGCTTCCATGTTTGAGCACAGGCTAGCCCAGACCCATCTGGCCAATGATTATGTAGGGTATCTAGCAGAGGCTGACTCTGAGAAGTGGTTCGTAAGATGCCACAGTATTGTGATCTCTGCTCAGACCCAGCTTATGTAGCCAAAGCATAATAAAGCTTTCTTCAGCCCCGGGCACTCAGGCACTCAGATTTGTATCTCAAAGAATACTGAGTTCCTGGAGAAAGGGAGCCCTTGAGCAAAGCTCTGATACCCTTGAAATGACTGAGGATGGAATCCTGGGGCTGTAGGTTCAGCTCATCTCAGGTGCCTTCAGTGACTGTGTCTTTAAGATTTTACAGTTTTCCTTCAGCTCCTTGGTCCCTTGGTTCAGCTCCCTTTTCAGACTCCTTGGTTCCTCCTTACAATTCTTTTAGGTCATCCCTCTACAGAAGCTGACTTTCTGTTTTGTGGTGCTGTGGATGTACTTCTCTAGACCATGAGAAAGCTGAGAGGTCTGTCTGTGCTACCCTTCCCATTCCTCCACAGAATTTTTGAAAGTTAGTGATAGTTGATACGTTCTTAGAAATTAAATTGGAATTTCAAGGAACCTGTTTCCAAGATAGTGCCCATGCATTTTTATTTCCATTACACTTATGCTTTCTGATAGGTTTCTGACCTTTTGTACTTTTTTTTTTTGCCTCTGGCTTTTTTCTCTTATACAATATGTATTTTTCCAAATGCTGCTTCCAACAGCCTTTTTTATTTTACTGACAAGAACAGCAACACCTCTGTAGATTGTCCTACAGCAAAGGCATGACAGAATAAATGATCATAAATAAGTCATCTTACATCTTCCTCTCTCCAAGGGGCAAGTGTCCTGGCAAGCTGCAGCCTCATAGGGTATTTAAGACCCAAACCAGATGCTGACAGAACAGATGTGAATTGCTGCCATTTGAACTCAAATCTTAAGGGTATGATAGAATGGCCACTGGAAGCCATCAAGCATTGGTAGGCCCCAAGTTGCTGGAATTTTTTTAAGTTTTGGGGGTTCAGATAATTATTCTACATGTTCAAACTGCTGCTGGGAGAGGTTACTTTTTTTTAGTCACAGAATTCCGGTACTACATATGTCTTGTAGAAAGATACAAAGCTGCAGTTTGGATGACTTAAACTCCCCATATCTCAGTTTCCTATGTATAAAATAGGAGTAAATAAATGTATTTTTTCTTTATTTTTTTGGTGTAATTTATACTGGCACTCTTTGGCACAGAATGTTCAGTTGAAGGCTTTGGTACCACTTCAGATATGCTCTCACAAAAAGCCACACTAACTCATGATGGAGAGTAGCTCTTTGCTGCATCACATTGCCTTTCTTTTGTGCACATATTCATGGCTTCTGCATCTGGAAGAATGTCTGACAACGCGTGTCATCTGCCTGTCATGTTACATGTTTGCAAGCCCCCATCTCACACAGCTCACAGGAGCTTCTGGTGCAAATGTTTAAGCTCAGGGCCATTGAGCACAAAGGGCTACCTAAGGATGTAGCCCTATAATGCACTTAGAGATGTATTCACAAATGTCTAAGGGTAAAGGTAGCACAAAAGATTAGCACATAGACCAAGAAAAGATGTGCAAGGAGAAAACCCAGTGGATAGATAAGTCTGTGTTGGTGTTTTCTTATTAGTTTATAAATCTTTTGGAGGTCAGTATTGCTATAGACATTTTTGAAAGTAAATATGTCTATAAATATAGTTTTGGTTGTTTACACTATCTTATTAAAAGGCTTAAAACTGAGGAAAAACTTACATAGTCTTACACAGTGTATATGGGTCTTGCCTACAAAGCTGAATAGTGAGACAGGTAATACCAGCACACTTGAGGACCTAGAGACAGAAACTGGTAAGAGCAGAATACTGATGCTACTAGTTGTACAGTTCTTCAAACTGTAATGAAATAATTCTGCAAGTAGATATATGTCTAATGTGTAACATTAACTGAATTATGTAGCTGATCAACAAATAAAATCCAGGTTATTCTCTAAAAATAGAAATATTTATATGGAAATATCCAATGAGAATGAAGGAAGCCAAAGATCATAAACTGAGACTTTCAGCTACTAGACAGCTACTCCCTGGGGGTTACTGTCAGGCCAGCAATATGCCAGTGCTGTACAAAATAGTCCACTGCCTAAGTGGAAGGAAACACATGTCACAAGTGTGGTATTCAACTTCAAATGTTATTATGGAGGTCAGAGTCTTTGGCTGATGGGAGAAATAGACCTCGCCAGAAGTGCCAGCAGTATATGGTAAGAGAATGTATTAAATAAGCATACTCATAGTGAAGCAAAAGTTTTTTCTTTTTTATTGCTAAAATAAAATGGGTAATAATTATAAAAAAAATAAGAGTTAGTCTCTTTGGAGCCATCTTTCCAACTGTTAAGATCTAAAAGTATTTTGGGAAATCTCTGAATTTTCAGAATTTCAAGCATTGTAGTAGAAACAATCATTCTTATTTTGAATGAACAGTTCATCACATAATGCTCTGGAAGCTGTTGTGTGCATTTGCTGCTGTGTTAGCTGCTTGTCATTCCTGAAAAGAATGTAAAGCAGGAGATGTGATGGCATGAAAGAAAGAAATGTCACATCTCTAAAATATGATTTTGAGAGATGTGTTTCAGAAGGCCCTGCAGAGAGCTGCAGAGCAGTGCTAGTCATGGAGGTGTGCGTCACGAGCCTTGTTCATCTCTGCTGACGGGTGGGGGACTTTACTAAAATCACTGCCTTGTTGGACCCTCTTTCAGGTGGCATTCCCTTTGTCCTCACTGGAGAGCTTTTCCAGCAGTCACAGAGGCCAGCTGCATTCATGATAGCTGGGACAGTCAACTGGCTCTGCAACTTCACAGTGGGACTGCTCTTCCCTTTCATCCAGGTACTCAGCATCCTTGGTAATTGATATGCTGTGATATCGCTGCTGTAGACAATTCCCTTGAGGTTTTGAAAATCTGACCTTGCCCATGGGGCAGCCCCAACTCATCCATTAAATGGATGTTTCTGTGTGGTTTAATAGGTTTTTCTTCCAGAAAATGAGGAGTGATTGCTTTCATAGCATTAGATCCTCCCTTCCAGCCCAGCTGGCCAGACACTTCTGGTTCTACCACCTGCCTCCATGGCAGCTGGGCAGGGACACAGAACAAGAGCCCAAATCTAGGAGCATTTACTCAGAATACTTTTATTTGGGGTTTTTTGTTTTGTTTTGCTTTGCTTTGTTTTTTTGTGGTGGGTTTTTTTTTTTTTGTTCTGTTTTTTAAAAATTATCCAGATGTATTTCTCCAAAGTTGTAGTTTCTGTCTCCTGCACAAACCTGGGGATAACCCTGAGTTCTGCTTAGCTGTCAGATTTAAATTCATGCAACTTAGAACAATCCCTACTTGCTCTGCTAATGCTACCTAACAGATCACCTAGTGAAAACTGTTCAAAAATCCTCAGTAAATTCAAATTAAAAGGCAAACTGGCAAACTGCGTTTTATAATTTTCCACCTGCATATTAAATCTTTTTGAGTGATTTAGTATGCATCCATATGAAGTTTGCTGTAGCCTTGGGGAATTTATCATTATGTGTCATAAAAATATCCAGTTGTGTGATTAGAAAATTATCCAGTTTAGTTTTAATGAAGATAAATTGTATTTCCAGCTTGAAGGTTTTTTGGGAGATTTTTTTCTTTTAAAGAAGAGAGCAATAAAAGCAGAAAAAGCTTAGAGTTTGTACCTAAAGATGAAAGCAGTGTTACTCAGACTTTGATTTTTAAAGCTTTTTCACAAGATCAAACTAGAACATCTCCTCTTTCCCAAGCTTTAAATTTTTTCCTATTTCAATCAACCTTATTCTCAAAATTCAGTTTATGAGTCACCACTTTCTTCACATAAAGGCAGTATCTTCTTCTTAGCTCATTTTGTAAACCTTAACCAGGAAAAAAAATCTTTAAGGCACCTTCACAGGATGAATGCATAATCCTGTCTATTTAAATACTAACCTGATTACTTGAAAAATAGCAGCCACTTTTTTTGATCCTTGGTGTGCTTCTACAAAATTATTCCAAACATTTGGGAAACAAATCTGTTAAGTTTAGGGTTACTAAAAAAATCAACCAGTAGTTAGTTTTCCAAATGTCACCAATTAACTAATTTGAATGACTAGATTTTTGCCCTTCAACCATCTGTAGAGAAATATAATCGAAGAGTGGCTTGAGTCATACATTAAAATATATGGATGGGATTGAAAAGCTACTATACAAATAACTTTTTGACAAATTAACAAAAAAAACCATTGAAGTTGGCTTCTCTTCCAGGTCTCATCACTACTTATTTGAGGTCCTGCAATGTGAACAGGGACCCAATAAATCAGAAATTAGAATGTATATATATGTGGAAATGAGTGCAATAAGCTGAAGCAGGCACAGGGAACTAAAAAACAGCAGAAAAGTATAATCTAAAGGGCCAAAAACTTCTGGTGCCATAGGATAGGCTTCTTGTGCTAAAGAAATACTCTTCATTAGCAATAAGTTTGCAGGGATAGACTTCAGTAATCCAATGGTGTATCAGAACCTTGAATTACATGTTATCTAGAAAAAGTTTCTATTTACTTTTTGTAATGCGTTGCATAAATACAGAGAATTACTAAACATCAATAACTACCAAATAATTTCCCAACACACTATTTTCATTACATGCTGATGCATTTTTATTTCATATTTCATGTTGTGCTATTAGATTGTTATGAGGCACTTAAAGACTACATGGTAAATTAGTAATACACTGAAGGAAAATGTACCAGATTTCTCCAGAAGTTTTCTGTCATAATAGTTTCTCTTTCTAGAAAACTGTGCAGAGTCTTTTTTTGATGTCAAAGTCACATTGTATATTTAGTACATATTCAAGAAATATTTAAATTGCTATGTATTTTATATTTTTAATTTTCAAGAACAGCTCATCTTCAGACTTTCCTCCTAATACAAACGTTTCCAATAACTGAGGAATGCAGAGGAATATCCTGTTATGATTAGGGAACTGCTCTGCGGAAAACTAGTTTGACTCTTATCTGGGGTCTGACCAAAATAATCTGCTTGGATCTGTGATCCAGAAGGAGCTCAGTATCACATGGGATAAAGGTGCTACAAGCCTTGAAGCCTTAGTTCAGATTGCCTGTTAGTATAATGCCAAGACCTGTATGTATGTTTATTTTCCTCCTTTCAGAAACCAATTTATTTGTGCCTGTGAAAAAGTACTTCTGAGTCATATATACTGGTTTCTGGAGGTTCTATTTTACTTCTACTTTATTTCTTCCTTAGTTTTACACCAGAGATTTTCATTCTCATGCCTCAAGATTCATTTACTCAGCAAGATTGTCTTTTGTTTGTCCTTATCATTTCCTTATTGTGTAATAGTATCCCTTGACTTTTTCTATCTCAGCATAAGGATTTCAGTAACAGGTGTGCACAGAAAGTTATGGGTAGTTTCCCTCAGCTAAGCTGTTTTAAGCTTCTTCAAATACATTGTATGTTTCATGTAGTGACAGTGTCCCTGTATTAAGGGAAATGGTTAAAGTTCCCCTCGAAGATGAGAAAATGAAACGTGGCTATCAGAGGGTAAGATGTGCTTATCTTAATTAGAAGCAACCCACTTCAGGGATACAATATAAGGATCTGTTACATTTTTATGAAGAGATAGTGAGTGTGTGAAGGTCATGGTTGAAATTGTAGTTCATGTCTAAAAAATTCTCTATTTTTTACGTAGGAATTACATTTCATGAGCATCATACTTCATTGCTCTGTCCTTCTTCATTGTCCTGCGCTTTCAGCAGAACCTTAAATTATGTCTGGAACAGAAGAAGGACAAAGGGTAAAGGACACTAGCCCTTATCCATTTGTTTCACTGCATTATATCAATTTGAAGCAAAGTGAAGTCAAATGTCTACATGAATAACAGTTTTTCTGCTGATCGATTTTGTAAGACATCAAACCATTATCACTTGACCTCACCATTTCAAAATCCAGTTTGACCCTCATCTCATGACACTAATCTTCATGGAAACTTCCAAATGCGAGAACCCTTTGCTAGTGTCAGGGGCTGTGACTTTGGAAGATGAGAATTTAGAGTCACATTTGGCATTTGCTGGGAAGAGTCAAAAGTTTTGTTTTAAAAATATTAATGTGTTATGTTTGTTAAATTAATTCAGATTTTTTTCTTTTGCTCATTTACTTTGCTGTATCTGCCCTAGAATATATATTTTCCTGTTTCCAGTATCACAGTCCTGCTTAGAATTTAACTTTTGCTACAGACTGTGTTAAGTTAGTAAGCAACCATTGTTAAATAGCACGTAATGATCCTCTCAACTACTTTTAGATTCCTCCAGAGTTTGATGTTCACAGCATGCAAGCTATTAACAGGAAGACTTTTCTCAGCTAGATTGCTTCAAAAGTAGCAAATTGTGCAGGTTTTTTAATTAAAACCAGAATTCTGATCATTTCAATGTTAGGGTTTTTATTGGTTTCAGTTTACTTTTTAGCTTTAAAAAAAATGAGTTCTTTTGCTCATTCATTTTGGCACTTTGCTAAAAATTAAGTATTCTTTAGTATTGTATTTAAAGCGAGGAGGGGAAATGCCTATACATTCTCTCTAATGTGTATAGCAGCCCATCACAAGCTGGGGGTAGGTTTGTTCACCTTTTTGCTTAAGAAAATGTGGCAAAGCTGCACCTACTTATCCATATATGTAGGTTATGCAGCTGTATCTCATCCTCAAATTCAGGCCTTATTGCTTGCTATGCCTGGGATCTGATTTGGGGGAATTGCCTGAGTACCTCAGCTTTGATTCTTTCTTGTAGTAATTGCATGTGTCTTAGGTAAATAATTTCTTGGTTTTCCTTTTTTTTTTTTTCCACAAATACAAAGCCTTGATCATCTGCAGAAAAGAAAAGACAAAAATGAGTAATTCAGGATTCAGCTGTCCAGAATTTGCAGAAATGCTGTTTTTCAAATTACTTCCTTAGAAAGTTGGTATTAAAATAGAAGGTGATGCATTTAAAAGTTTATGTTTAACTATTAAATATCCTATATAGCAATAGCACTTGCCAGCCTCAAAAAATCCAAGGTAAATCCTGCTTTGAAGAGGTTTTATTAGTCTGCTGACTTAGTAGGTGCTTCCCTCAGGAAATTGCATCAATAAGTGTGCCTGTTGTTCCTTTGCTCTCCCCTGCACACCTGATAGGGCAGGTGACCCTCAGTAACCCCAGAAAGCCTGGCCCTTCAAGGATCCTCACTGTGTGTCTGCCCTTGGCTCTGAATGGATATCTAGCAGGAGACAGCACTGCTGCTATTTGGGAAAACACCTGAAACTCTGCTCACCCTTGAACCTTGGGTGTTCCTGCAGATTAGGCTTAGGGAAATGCTAAGGGAAAACAGCTGCCAAGCTCAGGCTGCTGTAGAGCTTTGCTCTGATCTCCTTCTGACCTTTGGGTTTCTAACCATGCACGTAAAACCTGGCTTAGGTACTGCTAAGAAAACCTGCTCCTAGCTCTGGCAGAGCTGCCTGCTGGTGGGGGAGGAGAAGCAGCTTTGTTCTGGAAAGGAGCAGCGTGTGCTGAACCTGAGCAGTACGTGCAGGCAGTGTCAAGAGTGGGTGTGTGGAATATGGATGGAACTGCCCTGGCGCTTCCTGCATGCCCAGGGCTGCTGCTGCTGCTGCTGCTGCTGCTGCTTGGAGCAGAGTGCGAGGCAGTAACCTGTCCTTACGTGAGGAAATGCAGAGCTACAGAAACCAGATTCTTTCCTTGAATTTTTTTGTCTATTTGCTTAGGATTTCCATTCAGAATTGTTTTGCTTTTACTTCTTCCTCTGATGCTCCCTTCCCCTTTTACCTGCCCCTTCTGGCTGTTCAGAGGTTGTATGTTTTGCTAAGGAGTCAAGCTACTCTTCTGGTGGATACAACTACTCAATTTTTTGAACACTGGGGCTTCTACTCCATATAGCAGATGAAATACTGTCACAAAGCATAGAAAAAGGATTTGCCTTTTCAATTTCATCTTATACGTTGTCATTATTCTTGAGTCATTCAAAATGCACGTCAGTGAAGAATCTTGAGGCCATCCATGTCTGTAGGCTCAAACACCCAGAGCTGCAGAGAATCCATGCTTTGTCACAAAAGACTTTAACTGAAGTTCTTTCTCAGATTTTTACTCCCACCCCAGCCCAGGACAAGCAATATTCTGTGGCTTAACTTCTACAGTAGCAGCAGCAGGCTCACCTCTAGCCCATTGGAAGGAGTAAAACAAGAGAGGAACTACAGGTTAGTTAGGAGACTATGGTGGTTACAACCAGTCATTGATGTACGTGGGTTTCATGGACATGAATAATATCCAATATAAATAAAGTATTTGGGAACCCAGGGCACAGGGAATATTTCTCTGTCTGCTCTGAGGAGACATGACCCCCAGACAAGCTCTGACTTTGATCCTCATTCATGAAGAAAGTTTTCAAGACTTCAAGATAGACTAGAGTCCACAAAACTGTGAAAGAGTAGTATGGCATGTCACTTGGTTAGAAATTTAAGTTTTGAGATTTTTAGTATGTTGCAGATGGGAACAAGATGGAGGTTTTAGGGCAGAGGCAGGTTGTTCTTCTTGGCCTTCGTCCTTCTTCTTCATGGGTTTGGGTGATATCTTGTGATTAGGCAGAAAAGTCCACATTGTGGGATTTGAGGCTTCAGTTACTGGGTTAAAAGGGAAAATAATCTAGGTGTCATTTCTTAATTGGATAGTCTGGTCTTAAAAGACCTTGTAAGAAGAGATTGTTGGCCATTTTGGTGGTGCTTTTGCAGCATGCAGAGTCTCGTATAGACGGCGTGCAAAACTTTAGATAAGATAACAATAAACAAGAAGCTGAAGCCCAAAAAAGTCCTGTGCATCTCCTTTCCCTGACACAGAACCACTCCAGGAGGGTTTCCCTGCAACAAGGGAACCCCAAGGGAGGGGCCCAACGTGGGGTGAAGAAATCAATAAAGTGCACAAATCTCATGGAGCAAAGATCCTGTATCCTGGCAGATCTCTCTATCAGTATCCTTTTCTGTAGTAGCCATTGTTCAATAGCTCAGCATTTACTGCTTTTTCACCACATTATCTCACCTTCTAGGTTCTCTGATGGGAACATCAGACATATTTGGGCCAATCTATTGCTTGTTCCACCCCTCAGATCTTTCCTCCAGCACCAAGCAATCCAAAATACATCAGAAACATATAAAAATGAATTCAACATCTAGGCTGCGCTATATCCCACCTATGTCCCACTAAAGGTTTTTACTGAGCTGGGATTTGTGATTTAACATTTTCCTCCCCCTTTACCCTGTGTTTCTGTCTTACAACCTTTATCAGCGTGCAGTGCATATAGAAGGTTTCATGTTTATAATGAGTAATTTAATTAGTATGTGATGTTCTGTGCCAAATGCAGGTTTGGGTGAAATAAATTGAACTCTGGATGACATAAAAGGTTTATGAATGAGTGGTTTTCTTTGCTGTGAGTGTAAAATAATAACCAGCTTTAAGAAAATATTATAACTGAAGAATGGCTGGTGATGAAAGGGCTTTTTGTGGTCACCCTGCAGTGTTCCTCCTGCCTGGGAATTATGGGCCTCTTGGACAAATCCTGCAGGATGCAATAAACCCTACAAACCCCACTTACAGAATTTATAACAAAATTTAATTTTTAGCTTATTCTCTGTGAAAATTCAGTTGGAGGTTCTTGAAGGCTACTTCTTAAGGGATTGCAGAAATTAAGAACATGATTGCTACAAATAAATATAAATACATTACATAAAATAATTGCAAATAAAACATGCGGTCATGAGTGTTTAGTTCAATTAGAAGGGGTTTAGATATGAATCAAAGACAATAAGCACTAATTTATTTAGCTCATGGACAGCAAAGAAATAAAGAGGGATTAGAAAGGGGGACAAAGTTGTGGCTGCACTACCAAGAGATACAGGTTACTTATTACCTGTTATTATTTAGTTGCCATGCTTATTTATATGAGGTATTAACGGTTCACTTTCGTCATAGAGAATATTTAATTCAGTGAAATTTTAAAAAGTGAAAAACAGGATTCTGGGTTGAAATTCTGCCATTCAACTGAAGAACAATTACAAATGCTGAAGATCCAGATGTAAAATTTAAATTCTTAGCATGACAGGATGATTTATGAGGCAGTGCAAAATTATTTTCTCCTGTCTACTCTATCCTTTTTCTTCTGCCTCTGTAAAAGCTATTTGTTCTATTAAGTTCTATTTGTTATTTGCTGGAATATTTCCCCTCTGCGTTACTCACGCTGTTTGGCTTCTGATTGTCAGCTTGCCCAGGACTTCATGCTTCTAGGATTTAATAAAAAACACTGATGATCTCTAGAGTCCATAGACAATATCAGAGAATGCACTTGCTAGCTTTTCCTGTTACAGGCAGGATTTGAAGCACTGAACTAGGTAATGAATTATCCACAGAAACAGAGAACACTGTGACTAGGCAGGCTGGAAATCAGCCATGGTATTAAAAAGCAGCTTCAGGAAAGGTTTTACCCATTTTTCTTCTTTTGTTCCATGCAGGAATTAATGTTCTTCTAGCACACCACGCATGATGCATAATGAGCAAGTGAAACATACAAACAGTGCTAAGAATTGCACACACCTTGAGCACCCAAAGCAGGGAGTTAAACCAGCCTGCAGTGTAGGACTGGTGTGACTAACAGTGATGAGAGTCTATTACAAAAATGTGTAAAATGAAGGTTACTGGCTCTGTCTTACTTGTTTCAGTTACATACCTTTAATGGCATCTATAAATATGTATGTTAAGGAAGACAGGTCTGCTTCTTCTGTCCTGAGTGGTTTTCCCTGGGGTAACCTCAGCCTTGCAGCACCTGAGGGGATGTGTGTGGCTCTCCTTGGGTTTTCCTTTCATGTCCTCACATGAGGCACCACAGAAATGTTGCTTTGCTTTTGGAGTCGGAGATACCCTTTCTGGTTTAATTCAGCCTTGTTAATAAAAGCAATTAGAAAAATATGGGTACATTGGGTGTTTGAGAGTGTAAATCAATAGAGGAGGAAGGGAGATTTCCTCAAATGTTGTATGTGCCTTCTGTGGAGCCATAATATCAAGCCTGTTCCAAGTTCAACAAAGCTCAGATAGCAACATGCTATTTATCAAATGTTTTTTCACAACTGTACTGCTGAAAGGTAACTGGTAGTTGCTAAATGATCTAATAATCACTAGGCAAGAAATATTTAGGTTTCAGTGAAGTACAACTCATACTAGCTGGATGGAGCCTTTATAATCAATTTATAAATTAACTTCTTTACATTGACTCTTTGTTTTTACAGTGAAGAAAATCCATAACATTCAAATATGGTCTGTACTTTGCATTCCGTTAACTAAATCTTACACTTTCTAGCATGAAAAGGAATGCATTTTATGGATTTTTCTTTCCTGCTGTGAACTCCCAGAACCATAAGAGTGATAACAAATGTGTGCTATTTGGGGTTTTTCCTCATTTATTTTGCAAATCTCAAAGCCTGTAAATCAAAGCTGTAATGAAGATGCCCCTGGCTACGGCAGTTTTTCCATGGGTTTTGTAGAGGTGCACAGCACTGCTAAAGCAGTACCTAGGACCTGGGAGGGGCATGCAGAACCACCCAGTGAAACACCTGCCTCATTTCCAGAATCCCCGGGGCAGTGCCGGGCTCAGCTGAGCACGGTGCAGGATTCCTGCTGCCACTGCTCTCCCCAGCTCAGGCTGGTGTCTCCCAGCACTACCCAGATTGCAGCTCTGTGCTCCTGTGCTCCTGTGCCAGGAACCCGCTTTGCTGTCGACAGGCCACAGGCAATGTTGGAAGAACCAAAATTTGATGCATTTTTATGAACTTCTCAGCACTGCAACTAGCAATGGGTGCCAGCATGCATTGTACTTGGTTAAAATTGCTTCATACTCCCCATTTTTTCTTTCAAACCATTCCTGCCTTTCTTCTGAATTTTTTCTCTTTTGTAATGACCATCTCCTCTGTTTTCACAGGCGGGTTTACAGACCTACTGCTTCCTAGTGTTTGCTGGCATCTGCTTTGCAGGAGCGGCCTACCTGTTTTTTGTCCTGCCTGAAACAAAAAATAAGACATTTCATGAGATCAGCCAAGCATTTGCCAAAAGGAATAAAGTAGCTTTAGAAATGCAAGAGATGAACCACTACCCAGGGGAGAGGAAACCAAGTGAAGAACAAGAATCAAACTTCACATCTTCAGTGGACAATGGGGAAGCCATAAAAGGGATTGTGTAAGCCCAGGATGTTCTTTCAGGCAATGGGGGAAAGCGTGCTCTTTTCATTTATAGCAGCACACAACCTGTATATTTTATGAACATCATGAACTGCTTTTCCCTTGAAAATGTTCTAAGTGAGTATGGGTGAACTCATTAGCAGCTGGGGTAACAGTTGAGACAATGAGGGGTGGGAGGAGAGGCAACTGATAAAATAAATGAGATGAAGTTTCCTTGGCACCTGCGGAGCAAGTGATGCAGTGAGTGGGATGGGGAATATAGACTTGGAGATGTGAAGTGGCAGTGGGGAGCCAGGGTTCTGAGCAGCAGCTGGCTGGGCACCCCTGTATGCTCACAGGGAGGGGTACATGCTCCCTCCAAGAGGAGGAGGAGGAGGCAGGGACAAGGGAAGAGATCCCAGTGGGGGTCTGCTGAGAAGCAAACCTGAAATAGCACCAGAATGTTTTTCTCCATGTTTCCCAAGATGTCATTCAAGCTGCCCATGAGAACTGAAATGATGTTTCCCTGAGCTCCCATTCCTTTTCTAGCTATTTTGACTTTCAGTTGCATTGTTTGAACATCTCCCACCTTCCCACAAATGGGCAGCTCTGGGTCCTGATGAGTTTCCTTATCTCACTTGCAAATCCTGATTCACTACTAATAGAGTTGTCTATAGTTTCTGGGTTTGCTGGCACTGCATTTCTCTGAATATATATATTTACATTATTTTAATTTTTAAACTTAAAAGGTTTAATATGAAAGGAAAACTAAACCTCATGGGGAAGTGAGAGAACTCTGATGGTATGTGCAGGGCATAGTATTGAAACAAGAATTCAAACATGAAGTGTTGCAAGGGTTGGGGTTTTTTAATTGTTTTTTTATTTATTCCTTTTCTTTTCAAATTTCTTTTAAAACAAGTCTTAGGAGCCCAAATTTCTCTGAGACCTGATAACTTAGTTCTTAGCACTCAGATCTCTGCATAGGAATTTGGTTGCCTATTACTTTCTTAAACACTAATTTTTATTTGGGCATTAGATTCTGAAGCAGCAGGCCTAGTTCATATTAATGCAAGTTTCTAAGCTGTCTAAAGCTTTGTAAAACTGCTTGATTTAATGAGAGAAATATTGAGCAGGTTCTCAGGGGTTCAGCAAACACTTCATGGGATTTTCTTCTTAATGAACATCATCTTTACAGTTTGTAATTTTGATAACAGTTTTTCTTGATCCCTCGAAGTACCTGGATGTTGAGGGGTAACAAGAATTTTAAAATTAAAAAACTGTTTTATATGAAAAGTCAGTAAGTCTTTGAGCTGCTCTCAGTTAGGAGTAAGACACAAGAAGAAACTGCAGCATGTAGGTAGAGTCAACTGCTTCCCCAAGTTATATTTACTAATCTAGAAATTCATGTATTTGGAGCATTTTTGTGAGAAAATTTGCATATATATTAATATATGTATGCATATATGAATATACATATATTCCAAATATAGAATATATATTAATATTCAATGGCTTTGTATTAATGGCTTTAATGTGAAAGAGGGTAGCTAGAGACTGGATATTAGGAAGAAATTCTTTACTGTGAGGGTGATGAGGCACTGGAAGAGGTTGCCCAGAGGAGCTGTGGCTGCCCCATCCCCGGAATTGTTCAAGTTCAGTTTGGATGGGGCTTGGAACAACTTGGTCTAGTGGAAGGTGTCCTTGCCCATGGTGGGGGATTGGAACAAGATGATCTTTAAGGTGCCTTCCAACCCAGGCTATTCTATGATTCTGTGATTTATATTCATATATACGCACACACAATGGATAATTATTTTCCAGTATCTGGGGGGGTTGTTTGTATTTCTCCAAGTGATAAGCTGTTTTTTGTCTTGTTCTACACTGTAAATTACACTATAAATTAAAATCAGAGATCTTAATGTTCAACTGTTACTACTAATTTATGTATATAATTTTACACTGTGATTTATTTGTATATGGCATATTTACCACAGACATTGTAAGCTGACCTAATAGGGAAATTTCATTACTAGATAATTGACAAAAAATTGATGGGTGCTTTTATGCCAGACTTTATGGGGTTTTTTTTTCCACTGGAATAGAAGTACAGCAAGAAAATGAAATATATATGAGAAAAATAAAAAATGTATGGGTTAGGTGCTACTATTAAGAAAGAGAGAAAAGCAGGATTATTCCAACTGACAGTCATAAATGGAAGCTAATCAAATACTGTAGAGGAAAATATTATTGTAATAACCACTTGTAAAATTATATATAAATGAAAATATTACCTTTCAGTGCCTTTAGCTGCCTATTCCAAGGGTTACATGAGGCTTGCTAAGTGAATGGCTATTAAAGACTGAATGTGAATGCCAGCCCTCCAGAAAATTTTATGAAAAATTTACTTTTTTTGACCTGCAGGGCAAGACTGGCAAATTCAGACCCACTCCTTCAGACTGGGAATTACCTTTCTTTAATTAGGGCTGCTAACATGGTATGATGAGATCTGCTTTTAGCCAAGGTGGCAAGATTGGAAACCAATATTATTAGAATGAGCAGAATTTAACACTTAGTGCTGTTATCAACGCACATTATAGACACTGTTGAAAATGTTGCCATTGGATAACTTCAATTAAATATCATGCTGACCTGATACAGCAGTTGTATCAGAAATCAGGACTTCTGCAACAAAAATAAAATCATCTTACATTTGCCTACAGTTGCATTTGGAGCCCAGATCTGAATGCATAGGTAGAGATGTCTAAAGGAATTTCCTATCACAGCTTGGGGGCCTTGTACAGCATTAACATAAGGGGTCATGTTTTCATTTCTGCAATCCCATTTGCCCTCTCTGGTCCTGCCTGAGATGGGCACACATGTTCTGCGTGGCTGCAAAGAGCTGCTACAGACTTGGTACAGTGTGGGATGGGAGTTCCACATCTCACCAGATTTTCCTTGCCATCAAATGTTCAAAGCAATTCCAGGCCAAACTAGTGCTTTGTTCACTGGCCAAGGAAGTGTCCTCTGCCTTGGGCTGTGGAAGTTTCAGATGTGCCAGTATTTCATTAATTTTCTCATCTCTGACCCTAATGAGAATTTTGTGTTGTCCTTGAAGTTGTTCCATACAGTTTTTTTCCATTGCTACGCTGCTATAATTTTTCCAGCAATGAGAGGACAACATGGAAAATATCAGCAACTTATAGTTTATTTTTTTCTTGTTGAATGTATCTAATTGTCTGTAGCCTGTGTGTTTGTCAGCAAGTGTTGTGTGGTGCTACATTCCCTCTTCCTTTCTGACGTTGGGGTGAGGTACTGTGAGCTGGTGTTTTTATGGGTACCACAAGTCTGTGTGATCAACTATGTCCATGCACAGTGATTGCAAAATAAACCTTTGGAATAAAATTTAAATGATGTGGATTTTGTTCTGGGTAAATCTGAACCTCCACATGCACATGTTTCAATTCCCTGGGGTTTTGTAGGTCCCAGTACAAGACTGTTCAGTCCTGTGTCTGGATGACCCAAGTCATTGTGAACTCCACAGTGGGTGGCTGGGAATTACAGGAAGAAAATCGCCCCTGAAACTGTATACTTTTTGAAGCATTATTTATATTTTGATTCTCAAATCAGATTCCACACTTCATTCTTTCATATGTTTATGCTGGGGTTTACAAATGAAAATGCCGACAACAGCGTGAGGAAAATTATTAAAACTGGCTAGTGGTAGTAATAATTATTTATAAGAATTGTTGAAACTGGTGAGGCTTTTTGCAGAAAGTTGTCATTTGCAATGGATGAGTTTGAGTTGCTACAGCTCTAGTTTTGATGAGAAATTCAGTCAACTGACTATTTCTGCTACAAGATATGCAAAAACTGAAATCTGAAATATGTATAAAAAGTTGAATTTCGTACTTCAGGTTTTGAAGCCAATTTTCACTCCACAAGGATCTGCTTTCTAGTGGGGGAATATGTGAGTAATAATCCATATGGGATAATTTTCATCTTCAGAGTAAAATTTTAAAAAAAAAGTAAAAACATCCAAAAACACTCCAAAAACAACTCTTTGAAATTTACTTTCTTTCATTTGACTATTTTTATGTGCTTTTCCTTACAGACATTACCATATAAACTATTGGAGCTCACATCACCTCACACAGCAGGAAGAACAAATCCAAGTAAAGCATTCTTTGGAAACGCCTGTGGACTTTTCCTTTCAGTCTAACTCTAGTCAACAGAGTTCAGATAAAATCTAAAATCCCAAAATACATAGGCCCAAACTGAAGTGGGTTTGTTAAGGTAAACATTAATGCAATTAAAACATTCAGGTTTGAGTCCATACTTAATTCTCTCTACAAGTGATTTTATTTGAAAGTGAGCTCTTTCTCTCTGGAAAGGTGAATTTCATGGCATGTGCTTGGTACTGGGACTCCTAATCAAGTTATCACAGCTCAGTAAGCAATCATGCATAACCTGAGTCACTGCAGCCCTCTTCCTTGCAGGCTAAGCTGCATTAACCTTGCTTTTGCCATGACCCAAGACAAACAAGGGCAGAGGATAATTGAACTGTTTTCTGAGATGTTCCTGCTGAAGCTTCACTACAGTTAAACTCTTTTAAACTTGGATTTTGAGTTAAAAAAAAAAAAAAATTACACAAGAAAAGCTTTCAGGAGACATTTACACAGCGAATAGTAAAGTCAACAAGAATCTTCTCTGGTGGTTTCAACTCCATGAGTGTACCCAGGAAAGACATGCTGTACACACAGGAATGCTAAGTTTGGCACATTTTTATCTTCTTTAGATATTAAACCAGTGGCTTATTTTCCCAGTCTAGGAAAATAATGGTATAATTCAGAGGCTGCAAAAGCACCAGTCTGAGGCATTTCCTCTGAATTTGGGAGCAGGCAGTTGGTTGGTTGGTTGAAGATTTGTTGAGGCCTTTTTTAAGAGAACACTTTCAGTCTGGCTCATACACAAAAGCAGAGTACCAAGAATGAGACTGCTGGAGTTGTTGGTTGTCTTAAGCTTATTCCCAAAAGGCATAAAGCCAAATATGACTCTGTCAGACCCTTGAAACACAATCCATTAAGAGCATGATCTTGCAAATGTAGGAGGCAATTTGTCTGCTGCTGTGTAAGGTACCATGCAGAGACATTGATTTTTGTTTCATTTTCTCTTGGTCCTCTCAGTTAAAAAAGTCAGCCAAGCTAAATGCAATGCTCACCTCTACATTTGTTCCACCTTTTGTTTCTGACTTTTTCCACCCAATTATATAAAAATTTTTACAGTTCACACTTGAAAATAAAAAAGCAATAGCTACTTAGGAAAAGTAAACGTGCCAAAGATTATAAAAGTGATAAATACAATTTTCTCTACAGGCTGGCATTTACCAAGATGAATTCAATATTTAAGCTCTTAAATTCAAATTTCATATAATTTCATCTCTTTGAATTAAACTCTACTGTCTATGTGTATATATATATATAGACTTTTATGTTATCCAAAGGAAAACGTTCAGCAGCTTTAATTCTTATACATAAAATAAATTGGAGCATTTGGATACTATATCAAGTTGTGAACTGGACAGGTGAGACAACACTGGGACCCAGACACTTGCATTAACACACTTAGCTAAAATTTGCATGATCTTAGATTTGGAAAAGTTGTCTATCAAGTCTGTATCCTTTTGACCAGACTTAGATTTTTAATTTTCCACTTTTCTAGACAGCTATGGAGAGACTACGATGATAATTTGTTTAAATTTATTTTGAGGCATCAAAGGAAAACATCAAAACTCTTTTCATCCTACTAGAGAACAATTTGTATTGAAGACCCTCAAGAAGTAGCATGTATTAGAATAGTGTTCAGGCTAAATATACTCTTCCAGGATCTAGTGATGCATTTTGTACACCAGAATCACAGCCTGTCAGTGGGGAGGTCTCATTGCCACCCATCCCTTCTTTTCCCTTCTCTATCCCCACCTTCCCCTGACATGGGCTGTGCTTTGCCTCTAGGTGTGCCAGCACATCTTTAGAAACAGCATTTTCATCAAGTGAGAAGTGAAAGTCTCAAGATGCAGAAGGGAAGGGTCACCTCTCAGAGGGATGAAAGGGTGGCACCATGCAAGCATGGCTCCCTTGCAGACAGCTACAGCTGCACTTTTAAACTTCCTTTATCAACTTTAAATAGGTCATGGGAAATGCAACCACAAAGAAGGTGGAAGAAACTCGGGAGTTTGTGACTGGGCAGCTGCTGACAGATAAAATCTGTGTCTGAGAAGTCATCCAAGTGGCTTAGACATTGCTGCTGTTAATTTAATTAGCATGAAACTTGTAGGTAGGAATCTGCGGTATCACTCTGAGATAACAGTAAAAGCACTGCTCATTTTGCAATAATAATCAAAGTAAACAAAAGGCCAAAGGGATAACAGTGGACATCACAAGAAAAACCTAATATTGCAAATTAAGTTTTCTAATGGAATATCAGTCAAGAATAAACATGGCCAAGAAAAACAGGATGCAAGACAGATGGCTTATTTTTTAGTACATGACACCTATTCAATGAGCAATTAAAAATTAATTTAAAGGTAATAGAAAAGTTCAGAAATGCATAACCAAAGCTGTAGAATTCATTAG